CCCACCAGTCTACTGCACTCCACTTCCCCCCATATCAACACATAAGAAATGTACTTTTCTAGTTCATATTCCTAGTCAGGATCATGGTTATAGTTACAGTCTCTGTCATCAGATGGGCCTATCTAGGTTTTAGACCTGGAAGGGTTCTCAGAGCTCATGTAAATCTAGCCTGTTGGTTTTATATATGAGAAACGGAAGCCCTGAAAATCCAATGACTTGTCTAAAGTCACATGGGGAGGAAGTGACAGAACCAGGAATTGAATACAGCTCTTTCTAGTCCAAAATAAATCCAATGTTCTTTCCACTGAATCATGCATCAGCAAACTATGGTTTTGGGCCAAAGCCTGTTTTTAGATGATCCACAGGTTAAGAATAGTTTTACATTATAAATGTTTGAAAAACAATCAAAAGGAGGATGATATTTTGTGAATTATGAAAATTATATGAAATTCAAATTTCATTGTCCATAAATAAAATTTTATTGAAAAACAGCTACAGTCATCCATTTACTTATTGTCTGTGGCTGTGTTTGTGCTACAACAGCAGTGTTGAGTAGTTGGAATGAGATGGTATGTAGGGTTCTCACTTCTCACTCTTCCTCAGTGCAAGACAAATCCCAGTGACACAGTTATAACTATATAGCATTTTAACTGCCATGCGTGTTACTGTAATGTGACACTTATTATTTTCATCTGACTAGTTCATACCCATCATGTCAAAACAAGAAAAGTGGATTTGTAATGTCATACTTCTAAGGCACAGTGTAGCATGCTTTCTTTTGGTTTCAATTAGATGGCAATATATTTTAGAGTATACATTGATATTATCAGACTAAACACTTATCACTATTTTATCAACTTATATCAGAGCATTATCAGAAAATTTAGAAAATTCAAAATGGAATATCTCATGACAGAAGAGAATTCTTGATAAAAATACAAAATATAAATTAGATTGTAATCAAAGTAAGTTTCCAAGAGCCTCATTTGCTTGTCAAGCAAAGAGTGTGATTTATTAAAATTATTTATCAAATGTTAATTAAATTGTATTTTATTACAGCAGCCAAGGAAATGTGTCCAGAGAAAAAAAATTTGTTAAAGACTATTAGCTTTTTGGCTAAATTAAAATAAAAAACTTGCGGACTGATATCAGTATTTATCAGGACTTTTTTGTTTGAAAAGACATTTTCAAAGATGAAATATATAAAATCTCATTACAAACAATTATTGATTTAGTATTTTATTTTCTCCAATTACATGTAAAAACAATTTTTAACTTTCGTTTAAAATCTTCTTTTGAATTTCAAATTCTATCCCTTCCTGTACTCCCCCTCATTGAGAAGACAAGCAGTTTGATACAGGTTATACATGTGCTGTCATGAAAAACACATTTTCACATTATTCATATTGTAAAAAAAACACATAGAAAGAAAGACTCCAAGAAAAATAAAGTTTAAAAAGCTATGCTTTGACCTACATTCAGACTCTATCAGTTCTTTTTCTGGGGATGGATTCATCACAAGTCCTTCAGAATTTTCTTGAATTACAAATCATTAACAGATGAATATATTTGCAATGAATTTTGCAGATGGAGATCCTAACTTTGAATCCTAATTAAGCAAAAAAGAATTGCATTTTTCTCATTAATAGAACTATATTGCAAAAGTTTTATACCTAATTATATTTTTTTTATTTTGAATTTTGTCAACAAAATTTTTGGGGAAATTCTTTTCTCTCATTATATAAGTACCTACAAAATATCTTTAATTTTGTATCCTGACCTGCACAGTCTAAACTATTTATTATCTGGCTCCCTACAGAAAAACTTTGCTCAATCTTGTACTAAACTATGCTGCTGCCTCCCATAATGCTTGTGGACAGAAGAAAAGCATCTTTTCTTTTCTTTTCTTCCCTATCTACATTCTCATGCAGAATGAAAATTTGTCAGAACCAAAAAGAAAAATAAGCATTCATAAAAAAGAAATATCAGAAATGAGACCTGTGGCTCACATATCATTCAAATCATCTTTATGGTTTTCTGCTAATGTTCTGTTTAGGACCCAACACACCATTACTGACACTGTTAAATGTTTTCCTCAGTGCATAGGACACATCATAAATCAGGTGTTTAGATGACTATAAAAAAAGTCATAGGGTATTAAATTTCAAGGACCCAGAAACACTATACTCACTGTTGACCAGATCCTACTCATAGATAAGCTACTTTTTGGAGCTTAATGTAAGGCATTTGAACATCCTGAGGTAACTATTCATTTACTCATTCATAAGCATTCATTAAACACATATTATATGTAACATGCTTTGCTTTTGAAATATGTTGTATTAAAGTTATTCAGAAAAGTCTGTGTTCCTCCCTAAATGTTAACTTATGCTGCGGGATTTGCACACCTCAACACTTGGTGAACCTGGGTCAATATTCTCATGCAGAAAGAAATAGGTGGATGCTAATGACTACATTTTCCTGATGAGCAAATTAAAGTACTAAGATGATAAGGCATGTATAGACTGGGGTTGGGGATATTTTCAGTGTTTCTTAACCTTTTTTTTTTTTTTTGCTAGGGTAAAGGCTTTACTGGCATTTAGTAAAGCCTATGATCCCTTTCTAAGAAGAAATTTGCTAAATGCATAAAATAAGACACAGAGGATTAGAAAGGAAATGAATTTGTTAAAATATTTAAAAAATAAGTTTGCAGACCTCAGGTTAAGAACCCTTATACTAGATGATCTCTATTCATCAGTGGCAGGATTTGCACAGTGTGGCATAGTAGCAAGTTCAATGGATTTGAAGTCACAGAATTTGGGTTCTAGTACTTAACTCTCTGCTTCTTACTTTCAAAGTGTAACTTTTGTCATATCACTTCACTTTTGAGGGTCTTGTTTTTTTGTGTGTAAAATGATTGGATTAGAATATTTAAATTCCCTTATAACTCCAAATCCTATGAATGAATGAAAAAGCATTTATTAAACACTTTTGTGCTAGTCATAGTGCTAAACAGCAGGAATGCAAATCTAAGCAAGTTACACAGTCCTTGCCCTGGAGGAGCTTACATTCTAGTAGAGTTATGGTCAAGGAAGAGTGTTTTGGAGAGGAAAGTTACAGAGATGGTGATTGGAGTCATAGGGTGATTGGTTGACACATCACATGAAATGGAACTTTTGTCACCTGACCACTGAGAGGCATAATGGTTTAATGACTAGAATTTGCTCTGCTCCTTTCTATTTGTTTCACCTTGGGGAAATCACTTCATCTCTCTGAGCCTCAGTTTCCTCTTTTGTAAAACGAGTTAGCGCTAATCATTCAGTGTATGATCTAATGGACTAACACTCTCCCTATTAGATATTCATTGCTCTCTCGGTGGGGCTCAAAAGATATGGCATTATTATCAAAGAGGTCATAGAGATCTGGTCTTGGAGACCTTGGTTCAAGTCTTCCTTGTAACATGTACTGGCTGTGTGACACTGGGCAAGTCAGTTAACCTTTCAGTGATCTAGCCAACTTTCTAAGACTGTAACTCATAGATAAGCTGTCTACCTGTGTGGTGGAGAGAATATCTTCCCTGGGAGTTCCCTGTACTAAAATCATAGTTTCAGTGTCCTAACCAATTTGCTACAAAGAACTATTCAGGGACTTTGATAACTTGCTAGCTCAGGGTTCTTAACCTGGAGTCTGTGAAATTTTCTTCAATAAGTTATATATTCTGACAACTATATTTCCCTCTAAATCCTATGTATTAAATTTGCATCTCAAAATATAATTCAAGAAAAGGTCCATAGGTTTCACCAGATTGCTAAAGGAGTGCATGACACAAAACAGTTAAGACCTCCTATTCTATAGGATAACAAACCCTGTTACCTGCAATGGCAAGAAATGAAGTTACAGCCACCATTGTTAATCATCTTCATAAACTCTTTGCTTCTATATAAATGACCCCAATTTACAAAATTTGGTAGATCATTGGTAACTAGGAGGAAAACTGGAGATCACACGAAACTGAATTGGCTCTTTATGATCATTAGAATTGTCCAATCACATTAGGCTAAAAATGCTAAACTTATTTATATAATTTCATAAAAGCTGCATTCAACAGGGGTTCTTAAGCTGAGGTCTGTGAAATTGTTTTGAAATATATTATGATAATTGCGTTTCAAAAAAAATTTTCTTTTATAATCATATGTATTTTATTTTATGGATTTAAAAATGTTATTCTGAGAAGAGATCCATAGGTTTCACCAGACTTCCAAAGTGAACCATGACACAAAAAAGATTAAGAACCCTTCAATTAGATGATCTTTTAGGTCCCTTATTAGACTCTAATATTCTGCATTATATAATATCACAAAAAACCCAATTATGACTTGATTTTGTAATCCAAGAGGAGAGTTAAGTGACTTGCCCAGGGTCCCACAGCTAGTAAGTAACTAAGGCCAAATTTGAAGTCAGGAAAATTTGAAAATCAAGAAGATGAGGCTTCCTGACTTCAAGACCAGAATTCTATCCACTATGCCACCTAGTTGCCCCAACAAAATGAATAGGGAAGCTATTTTTTTTCAACTTTTACTTCTTCAAAGACTTCATGAAGAGTCAAGGAATCATACTGAAAAGCCAAGATTATTGTACTAGGCTTTTATGAACATTATGAAGATAGTCCTCACAATTTAGAAAACTGAACCTGAGTCCTATGAAAAATCTCTGAATGTTAAAGGACAAATGGCAAAAAATATAATTTAGAGTTAAATACAGATTTATTTTCTAAATGTTGTAAGCAGAGAAACTTGATCGATTGTCATAACTCTGATTCTGACTGTAGTAACAGTTGACTATACACACACACACACACACACACACACATACACAAACACATGCGCACACAAGATACACATTTGAGGCAACTAAGTGGCTCACTGGATAGAAGCGCTGTCCTGGAGTTAGGAAGACTCATCTTTGTGAGTTCAAGTCTGACCTCAGACACTTACTAGCTGTGATCCTGGTTAAGTCACTTTACGCTGTTTGCCTCAGTTTCCTTATCTGTAAAATGAGCTAGAGAAGGAAATGGCAAACCACTGCAGTATCTTTGTCAAGAAAGCCCCAAATGAAGAGTTGGACATGACTGAAATAACTGAAGAACAATAAAAATAACATACATTTACAAGTATACACATATACACACATGTGCACATACACACGTGTGTGTATATATGTAGATATATCTCAACATGTATACCTACATAACCCACATATGAAAGAAAAAGAATTGCCATGCTTTCATAGATCTTGTTGTTTATGTCTATATGTATATGCATATATGTCTTTATCCATTTATGAAAACATGGCATCATCCTTTCTGTTTTATTTCATGAATATGAAATTTAATAGTAGATTGATTTAATTACATCTATCTCTTTTTTTGGTTTGCTTCAGATTATGAGCTCACCAAGTGGGATCTGGTCTAATTTTATTAATTAATTAACAAGCATTTATCAAGCACCTACTTCATGTGCTGGATATTGAGCTATGTGCTAGATATAGCAAGACAAAGACAAAACAATCTCTGCCCTGAAGGAGCTTCTTTTCTTTTTTTTTAAAAATTAATATTTTTTTTCTTTTTAGGCAATTGGGATTAAGTGACTTGCCCAGGGTCACACAGCTAGTAAGTGTCAAGTGTTTTTGGTCGGAGGTCGGGTTTGAACTGGGGTCCTCCTGACTTCAGGGCTGCTGCTCTATCCACTGCGCCACCTAGCTGCCCCCAGGGGCTTCTATTCTATCAGATGTTCTGGGCATCTCTCCTACTCACTAATTATTCAGTATGGTTACTGACACTGTCTTTACTAAGGTCCCAGAAAAAAGAAAACCTCATGTACAGTGGCAGTGATGGGTTGTCTTCTGAAGACGACTGAAGCCCTGCTGAGGTCAGAGAAGCACAGCATTTGTTTGACTCACAAGAGAGTCTTAGTGAGAACTGATCTCATCTTCATTTCTTACTCCTTCAATATAGGATCTGTTAAAGGTAGGAGAAAGATTATGCTACATTGAAATCACCTATTCTCATACCAAAAGAAGGAAATGAAAATAAGGGCCCTTAATAAGTTTTAAGTAATAAGATTAAGGTCCCTTAACCTGATTTTTTTTCCCTAAAGAAATTCATGAACACATCTCCAAAGGCAATAATGAGCTTATGAGCTCTTTTGGAAGATTGAATTCCTACATCAACACAATTTCATATCTTTTGAAATATTTAAATAATCTTACTAATCACAAGTTGAGGTGAATGTTTTTCTGTTTTGGGTAGGCTTGACATAACATTTGGTGAAGGAACTTGTTAGGCCCAATTCTTTCCTATAAAGTAATAACCTAGTAGAGATGCTTATAGGGAGGACTCAAACCGTAGGTTGGTATAGGCTAATGATAATAACTTTTATATGCCTCTTTAAGGTTTACAAAGTGTTTTACAAATATTATCTCATTTTATCCTCATAACAGCCTGGAAGGTGGATATTTTTATATGGCTCATTTTACAGATGAGGGAACAGAAGTTGGAAGTAGTTCAGTGTCTTGCTCAGGGTCACTCAGCTAGGAGAGTGTCTGAAGAGATATTTGAACTCAGGTCTTGCTAACTCTAAGCCCTCTATCCTAGTTGCTTAGATTGAAGATCTATTTTCTCTTGCATATGTGATATAGCTGCAGGTATTGCCTGCACATTTACTCAGCCATGTAGCCCAATGACAATGGCTAACACTTATATGGAGTTTTAAGTTTTATAAAACACATTACATATATTTTCATTTTATTCTCACTGCAACTCTGTGAAGTAGGTGCTATTCTTCACATTTTATAGATGAAGAAACTGAGGCAGAGAGCGGTTAAGTGATTTTCCCAAGGTTACACAGCTAGCAAGTGTCTGGAGTGGGATTCAGATCTAGGTCTTCTTGACTCCAAGTCTACCACTGTATCCACTGTGCCATGCCTTAGAGTCATCTGTCTGTCTATAGTTTAGCCACTTGGTATTTTTTTAGGAACATAGGATCAAAGATTCATAGTTGGATGGAATATGAGAAGCCCCATCTAATCCAACTCCCTCATTTTTTAAGTGAGGAAAATGAAGCCCAGGGATTTAAATATCCTGCCCAAGATCATGCAGACAGTTAATGTCAGAGGTGGGATTTAAACCCAAGACCTCTGACTCTTTCCACTAGGCCTAGTTCGGATGATAGCATGAGCCAGGAAAGAGAAGTAATAGAAAAGGGCCAAATGTGATACTAGAGAAGTTCTTTTGGCTATCTATTTCACCATGGTTTTTTTTTTTTTTTTACTATATGCATTTATGGTTAAAAAGTAAAAACAAAACAAAACAAAAAACAACAAACATCCCTGCATTGGGCAGAAAAAGATGAGGCCCTTACCCATTGAACAGCTTGGCCAGGAGTGAAGGGTTAATGAAGCCCTCCATGAAATGTATTGCTGAGGGTCCAAGAATTTAGGAGACCCTAATATTCCTTTCATGGAATTTCAGCACTTAGGTTATTTCTTTCAACTATTCAATGGCTATTGAAAATCCAGGGGGAAGATATAGGAGGAATAGCCTTCCATTCACAATTTCGGAAAGTGTTTTCTTCCTGAGATGGAAACAAGGAATTTAGTTCCATGTTCCTCTAAGTCTGTCCCATTTTCAGGCACTAGCTTCCTAGTAGGAAAAAAACAAACAAACAGAATACGTAAGATACTCACAGACTGGAGAGATTTCTCTTTAATTCCCTTTGGGTTTCCTGACTTCTTTACTTTCTCTTGTAGGGGAATTTGACTTTTGGGGTCTCAGTGCTGGGAGAGCAATTTTGAAGTTAGGAATTTCCTTCGCTGAAATCACAGGTAGTCTGGTCTCCCCAAAGTGATGTGTATCTCACAAGAGAGTCCTAGGGAGAACTATTCTTGCCTTAATCCTGTTGCTCACCGCCTTGATATAGGAACTGCTAAGGCAGAAGAAGGATCAGGCTACATTGAGATCACCTGTGCTCATAGCAAAAGCAGGAGGAAGTGAAGGTAACAACCAATGAAAGGCCCATTAATAGGATAAGTCCACTCTTCATTGCGGTCCAAATGGAGTAAACTTGGCATTATTTGCCTTTTTGAGGAACCCTCAGCTTGTCAGGTCATACGAGGTTTTCCATCAAGGTTGTCTGAAATCCAACTGTACTGAGAAGAAGGAACTGAGGTTAATCAATCAATCTATCTGTCACATCAACAAAACATTTATTACGTGCCTAATAAGTAGTAGGCACTCTATCAGGCCCTGCCCATACAGAGATAAAAATAATAGTTACTGCCCTCAAGAAACTTACATTCTATCAGTGGTTGGGTGGTGAATGTAAATACAAAATATGTAGAAAGTAAATGGAATATAGAGGAATGTCACATAACACCGTAATGGGAAAGAGGCCCTGGCAGATGGGATTGTGGTCACGAAAAGTCTTATGTAAGAGATAACATCTGAACTGAGTTTTGATGAGAGGGAATCCAAGAGGCAGAGGATAATGGGAATGGGTTTCAGGCATGGGGGACCACCAGTGCTAAAGCATGGAAATGGGACGTGTGATGGAACACTATGTGAGGTGTCAAACATGCTGCCCATGGGCCATAGTGCTGCCTTAATGCTCTGGAATACAGACTTGAACCAGATTAAAATGCAATTGGGAAAGATTTGACAAAATAAATACAAGTACAATAATAAGTCAACATGTGGCTGCAGGGAGCCTTATGCTTAGTTTAGTTGAGCTGTTTCTGAGTTTGACACCCCTGGTGTACACTGCCAGGCTCAGTTGGTATGTTGATTACATTTTTGAACAGCTTTCCCTCCCCCCTTTCTTTTCTATTCTTTGTTACAAGGAATAGCTCTCTGGATAGTGGAGTGAGAGATTTATTAGAAAATGGAAGTGATATAAAATAAAAGATAACAATCAAATTTTAAAAAACTAGTCTCAGAAGAAATTATTGTCTTTTTCCCTTGCAAAGCCCAGATCTATCTGAAATTCTAACCCTATAAATGAAGCATAGTAGGTACAATAGAAAAAACCCTGGGCTTCAAAGTTGAAAGACATAGGTTCTAGTCCCAGTTCTGCCAAGAGATAGGAATGGGTTTGAGTCTCAGCTCTGTTACTATCTCCTACATGTGTGACTATGGGCAAGTACTTTAACATCTATACGCCTCAGTTTCCTTCTCTGTAAAATGGAAACAATACCTTCTTTACTTATCTTGTAGGACTAATAAACAAATGCATGTGAAAGCACTTTGTTAACTATAAAGTATTTAGGTTTCCCTCCCTACTTCATTTCTAATCCTGCAGATATCCCTCACATAGGGTGTCAGGAAGGAGGAAGTCAGTTGGTTTTCCTCCTTTGCCTGGCACATAGCTGAGTTCACAGGCTACTTCAGTGTACTGTATTCCCTGTAAAAAGCAGTAAATAGCTCTATAATTCCTTTGTAAACATTCACTTTTCAGTTTATTTGCACCAGAGATTAATTCCTGGTAAGGAAATCATGGAACTAAAGGGATTTGGGAGGTTTTGGGTTTCTTGCAGGTGTCAAAGGGATCTGACACCAGGTAGTTCCACTGGCAAGGGAACAAAAAATGAGCTAACTTCTTTGCTTGGGTCTTTTTCTCATAGAATATAAAATCTTTAATAATTCCAGGGAAACTCTTCCAAGTCCATTTGAAAAATGACTAATTAGGGAAAATGAAGAAAGTAAGTGCTTCTTGATATTCCTTGTGCAAAGGATGAGTGGAGCAAATACACTTCTTTTTTTCTCAGTTTCTAGAACCTTGCAGAGTGCTTTTTCTCATATTAACTTTGTAAGATAGGTAGTGCAAATATTATCACCCTTACTTTACGGAAGAGAAAACTGAGGCACAGAGAGAAGTGATTGACCCAAGGTCACACAGATAACAAGAAGCAGAATGGGGATTTGAATACTGTTCTCTTAATTCCAAGTTCAGCATTCTTCCCATAACAGCAAACTGCAAATGGGATAGTATACCTAAGAGCTGTAGAGATGTAAATTTCCACTTGAGTTGGAGTTACTACTAAAATCCCTCCTTGATGCTTCACCACTCTACCACTCAACAAATGGTAACCTAAACCAATGAACTGTGTTGATTTAAACCTTACTGGTCATAGAACATTGATAGGGTCATGCTAGTTTGACAATCATTAAACTTGTGGAAATTAAAAAATATTGTTGTAAAAAAATCTCCCTTATGCACATCTTTTTCAGGAAATAAAAGGGAAACTTGGAAGGGGAATGGACATAAATTGTACTACTTTTTATTCTTTTTTCTCTGTGTAGTATTTTGATTGATGATTTCATCAGCTCCCATGGTTTCAATGATCACAGCATAAAGCTAATGATGATTCTCAGATCTACCTATCTAGTCCTAATCTCTCTACTAACCTCCATACTTGTGTGTCCAATTCCCTATTAGATACATCAAACTGGATGTTTTACAGACTTTTAAACTCATTATGTCCAAAATTGAACTCATTATCTCTCTTCCCAAAACTCTCCCCTTTCAAAAACAAAAACAAAAACAAAAAAACCCCTTTCCCCTTTCAAATTCTCTGTTTCTGTCCAGGACACCATCCTTCCAATTATTCAAGCTTGCAACCTAGGTGTCATCTTTGACCCCTCACTCGCCCTCATCTTTCATGCTAAGTCCCATCAATCTTACCTTTGTACCTTCTCCTATTTGTCTTCTCTCCTCTGACACTTGCTACCACCCTGGTGCAAGCCCTTATGTCATTCCTGAAATACTGCAGTAGTCTTCTGATTGGTCTATCAACCATAAATCTTTCCCACTCTAGTCCATCATCTACTCAGCTATCAAATTGATCTGCCTAAAGTACCAATCAGACCATGGCACAGTAACCCTGTTTAATTAACTCAAGTGGCTCCCTATCATCCACCTCTAGATGAAATATAAAACCTTGTTTGCTATTCAAAGTCCTTCACAACTTGTCCCCCTTCTACCTTCTCAGTCTGCTTATACTTTACACCCCACCCCTGCCTCTGAAAATGCCACTGGCCAGTGAGTCTGGCCTCCTTGCTGCTCCTCAAATATAACATTCCATCTCCAACCTCCAGAATTTTCACTGGTTGTTCCCCATGTATGGAATTCTTTCCCTTCTCATCTCCCCTCCCAGATTCCTTCAAATCCCAAGTAAAATCTCACCTTCTACAAGCCTTTCCCAATCCCCTTTAATCCCCTCTGTTGATTATGTATACTTTGTCCTGTATATATTTTATTTGTACACAATTGTTTGCATGTTCTCTCAGCCATTAGGCTGTGAACTCCTTGAGAGCAGGGATTATCTTTTTCATTTCTTTATGTCCCCAGTACTTTGCACAGTGCCTGGAACACAGTAAACTCTTTATAAACTCTTACTGAATGGCTTGCTAATTGTTACCCTTAATCTTTGCTATTTTGGTGGGTCTGTGATCTCATCAATTTGATTACTAGCTCCAGTGGTACAGATCATAGCTCACCTGTACTTTTTTATCCTTTGATATTACTGTCCACATATTCCTAGAAATCCTAGGGGATCTACCCAAAGTTCTGGGGGACTTGCTTGAATTTAATGGATCACAATGGAATGTGCAGTTTATCCACTAGTTATCTCTCTGGAGGTGAAAGAGAGGCTGGTGATTTAGCATAGCCCTCCCTGACTTAAATCCAATTCCCTGGCCTCACTGATGTCATGGACCTCTTTGAGAGCTAAGGACAAATAGCTACTCTGTGAGTAGAAAAGGAACTGCTCACTGGGGCCCAAAGTGGAACTGTCCATTTGGGCAACATTTCTCTCTCTCTCTCTCTTTCTTTTTTTAAATTAATTAATTAATTTATTTTTAACATTCATTTCCACAAGATTTTAAGTTCCAAATTTTCTACCCATCTCACCCCTCTCCCCACCCAAGACCCTTATTATAGACCCCACCCAGAATGCATGCATTCTGAATACCCCTTCCCCTAATCTGCCCTCCCTTCTATCACCCCCATTCTCTTAAACCCCTTCTCTTATCTTTCTTTCTTTCTTTCTTTCTTTCTTTCTTTCTTTCTTTCTTTCTCTCTCTCTCTCTTTCTTTCTTTCTTTCTTCCTGCTTTCCTTCCTTCTTTTCTTCTTTCCTTCCTTCCTTCTTTTTTCTCTTTCTCTCTGTTCACATAGGGTATCACATCCCAAGGGGAATGTAAAATTTTTGTCTCTGAAACTATTTTCCCCCCTTTCCTCTTAAAGACCAGTCTTAACCCCAAATCACTCTGGCTCTCCAAATCACTCTAGCTCTCATTGTCCCAGGCCAAGCCCTATTTAGTCATTGTTTGGGCCCTGATTGGCTCAGAATTAATGTAAATAGCAAGTGTTTCTGTTCTGGCCAAAAACCCTGAGGGTCTTTCCCTCCCAGATTTTTTTTTTTAAAGAAGCCATTCCTTACTGCATTCCTTATTAAGCCTTAATCACTGAATAAGCCTTGTCTCAGTGAAACTGAGTCAAACTGAGACCAGTTAAAGACCTTCCTATGCAAAGGCCAAGGTTCCCCACTGCATCCTGGGCCATCTCCAGTTATCCTGATATATATCTGCCCCCTGGACCCAGATGGCTGCAGAGGTGAAAGTGAGGTTGGTGACTTTGCACAGCCCTCCCTCACTTAAATTTAATTCACTTGCATGTCATGGCATCACCTCCATGATATCATGGTTCTGATAAACTGCAGCATCCCATCGTATAATAGGTTTACCTTTTTTTTCCCTGTCTTATCCTTTATGCCACTTTTTCTGGCATATTTACCAATCACTAAAGAATTCTTGCCAAAGAATTTACTAGTTCTTCATTGGCAATATGTTTGTATGTGCTCACACCCACCAGAAACCTAACCCTGTGTTTCCCCTAGGAGCAATGGTTAGATATTTGCTAATTCATTGTATGTGGTGACTTTCTGGAACATAATTGCTACAAATGATGAGAATAAACTATATTGTGAATACCTTCATCAAGATGAGAGTGGGATGTGATGGTTATGTCAAGCAATGAATAACAATGCAGAAAATGAAACTGATTGTATTATGGCAGATAGGCAACAACTATGGAAGTCATTTCTGAATGAACTATGTACAGTAACATAACCAAATTGTTAAAGATAAAAATCAATTCTAATTTAGATAAATGAGTAACTACTGTATACATTTGAGGCAACTGCAGTCTGACTTCTTAAAACAAGTTGTTGTTTGCCAAAAATAGTAAGTAGGGGAAAAGAACAGATATTGACACATACTATCACCATTTCTTGAGAAAGTTTTACCAAGGTAAGTTAATAATCTACAACCCAGAGACTGAATGAACATTTCTGATTTGTCCAGTTGATGAGACTCTGTTAGAAACTGAGCAAGTCAGGCAATAGACTCTTTGTTGCTAATTAAGGGAAGATTATTGAACTGGCGGCGCCGACCTGCTGCCAGCCGCACGCCGTACCCTCTCCTCCTATAAGGAGCAGGCTGCCAGAGTCATACTCACTTCCGAGTCTTCGGTCCTCAGCCGGATAAACACACAGAGATGAGCCATTGGGAGATGCCAACACCAGAGCTTTATTCAGAGGCCATCACAGCAAGCCATCACAGCAAGCCCAAGCAGCAAGGCCAGAGCAACAGAGCAGGAGCCAAGAGAGAGAGCGTGTGATCTGACCACTCTCGTTCCTAAGAACCTACTTAGCCCCTCCTCCCCAGCCCGCTTACTAGCCAATGATTGTAGGGTCAGATACCGGAAGGGGCTGTCTGAGGTTAGCAAACCAAGGGGGAGGGAGTGACGTAGGAGGCTAGGACCGGATACAGGGAGGAGGCATCTGGGATTAGCACATAGACAGAGTACGTGACCTAGGAAGTCAGACTCAGACACTGGGAGGAGGGGTCTGGGGTCAGTGCTGCACAAAGGGACCCAGGAAGTCAGGAAGGTCACAAGAGGTGTCTGGGGATGACGTTGCATATAGGGAGGGGACTAAGCAAAGGGAACTCAGTCCTCTGCCGTCCCACTCCCACGTGGCACCGCCCCTTGCCTCAGGAGCTCAAGCTCTGGCTACTTCCTTGCACCCAGCTTATCTCACATAGCACTGCCCACTGCCTCAGGGCTTCTCCGTATCCAGCCCATCCCAGTTCACCACGACTCTGCCTACCACAGCCCCTGCCTCGACTTCCAAAATACCCAGATCTTACCCTACTCTTGCCGCAGCACCCAACCTGGTAGCTGCCAACATCAGACAGTCCCTCACAGATTATTAATAGTTATTTTCAGTAGTTACATTCCTACTGTGCCTTTGATGCCTACTCAGGAGAAGAGGAGTCTATCTACCAACCTTTTGATTAAAAGTCAACAAGAACTAGCCCATAAACCAAGTACCAGTTTTTCTCTTTAGTAAAATCTCTCCCAGCTCTAAATCCTAAGATTCCATGACTCTTATTCTCTTGCCAAGAAAGAAGAGCTTCTTAGAGCCAGAAATAACTACGGCTCTAACATTTGAGAGTTGTTACCAGAAAGTCTGCCCTCTATGTCCAGGAATTACAATGATGCATTATATTAGAGAGAGGCAATGTGGTAGAGTGGATTGGTTGCCTTTTCAATTAAAGCTAAGTCCTCCATTTTTCCACAGATAAGAATCCTTGTATCCTATAGATATACATATCTATTCACTGGAAAGACTTGGGTATTGGTAGGATAGACCAGAATAAGAAAACTAGACCTAATCAATCAACAAATGCTTATTAGGAACCTGCTTTGTATCAAGCCCTGTGCTAGACAAAAGGAACCCAGCCTTCAGACAGAGGAAGACAACATGGACTTATGTGAGGAGAGATCAGGAGCAGTAACTGAGTCCAAGAAGAGCTTCAGTGTTGACTGAAAGTACAGGTTTTGTTCATTTGAGCCTTCTTTCCAAGCTTTGAATTAGCTCTTGGCCTCCTTCTTTGATCTAATTTTGGAATCTACAATTTTATCCTACAGTGCCATTGTCAAAACCGGGCAAAAAACAATCGTGTTATGATCCAAAGAATGCTAGATTTAAAGTTAAAGGAGTTCTGTTCTAATCCTGGCTCCACCATTTACCTACTGTGCCATGTTGAGCAAATCACTCACCCTCCATGAGCCTCAATTCCCTTACCTGCGAACAAATAACTAATAAACAAAGGATAACACTTGTCTCACCCCTGTCACAGTGTTGTTTTGAAAGCCAAATGAGATGAAGTACTTTAGAGAACTTTATAAATGAAAAATTGCTATATGAATTTAATGCTAATTACCCTGGATCCCATTGTCTGAAGATCAGATATGTTACATTTTACCCTTCCCCCTGAGTTCTCTAGTACGTTGAAGGAGATTTAAAGTTCTAGGCTCTCTGCCATTGATGTCAGATCCCACCCATGACACTTCCTCATTTTTTAGGATGGGTCTTATGTCCCTAGTTCTATTTAGCCACTCAGTGAGATTAGGTTTAAAAAGGAATATTTATTTAAAAGACTACATATATATTCCCAAACATAATTCCTCCCCTCTCTATTCCCTAATACCACCTCAAGAGGAGGGTTTATAGTTTAGTTCAGTTTCTATATAGCACAATCCCAATTCTAAGTCCCAAAAGCTCCCTGGGGGTTTGTGTCCCAGTCACCCTGGATTCTTGGTGTGTCTCTACCAGTTTGGTTGATTGTAATATGATTGTAACATGAGAACAAATGAAAAATTATTTGGAATATAAACTTATTCAAAGGATAAAATCCTTAATATGACATATTTAGATAATCTGAATTCTATCCACCCTTAAAGAGCACTTGCCAAAGTGTTTTTGTTTGTTTGGATCATTTCAATAATTTTGCTCGTGTATTTCTACCTGTATCTTGAACAGTTTTGCCAGTCATTTATATTTAAAGAGACCTGGGTCATTTTTAAAGAACCAAGGAGTTAAAGGGAAAGCAAGTGAAGAGTCTGAGTAACTCTGAAGTTAGTCATTAATTCATTCAATATTTATTAAGTATCTACTATGTGCCAGGCACTGTGCTAAGCACTAGGGATACAAAAACAGGCAAAAGACAGTCCCTGCCTTCAAGGAGCTTACAATCTAAAGGAAAAGACAACATGCAAACTAATATACAAAGCAAACTATGTACAGGATAAATAAGAAATAATTAATTTCAACTCCTCTCATTAGTAATAACCTTCCCTTATAGTTGTCATACAGCACTTGATTTTGTAACTCTGTATTGTGTTGATCAATTAAGATCATGTGTTAAAACTATCTATTCTGGTGTCTTATCCTCTTACTAGAATGAAAATTCATTGACAACAGTGATTGTGTCTAATCTCAACTTTTTATCTTTTTCAGCACCTAGTTCAGTATTTCTTATAAAAGCTTATTGATTGATTAATAAATATTCATTTTATAGTGTTCTGTTTATATTTTATGGAGTTCTGTTCATATGTAATATAATCTGCTTAGTGTGATCCTTATCCAGTTGTCAGTCAACATTACTAGATCACCTGAACCACATTAATAATTAATGATATTACCATTATTGCTATAAATCAAATTAGAAGACACAAGGAGGTTACAGTTTAAATTTTTCCTTGCAATTTAAAAAAGAATTTTAATCCGCAAAGATGTACAGAAAGCATGTCCAGGAATTGGGGACTTTCTGTGCAGAATCACAGAGGGTAGAAGATTAAACAATAAAGCTAGTGACTCATTTTGGCTGGGATTTAGAGTACTTGATGAGTTATAGTAGGAACAGGTTTCTACTGCAAAGGCAAATAAAGCATTTGGCAGATTTTATTCTTCATTTGCCCCAAAGCAATAGAAATAGGATTTCAATAAATTCTACTGCAACCCTTCATTTTAATTTCATAAAAATATTTTGAGTGTGTTTCTTATAAATAATATGTTGATTATGCCAAAAATTCTGTATCACAGTCAAGGTAGTCATTAAAGGAAATTTATTTATAAAACATTTTCATAAATGGAGAAGGAACAAACCAATAAATTGGGAATGAAGCTAAAACAATTAGAAAAGCAACAAATTTCTTCTATGAAGCAAATATGGTCAAGATACATAAAACAGGGAGAGAGATAAAACAGATAAAAAGACTATAGAGCAGAATGTCTTATGAATATTAATCTAAAATGTTAAATAGTATATTATCAAGTAGGCTACAGAAATATTTTAAAAAGATCTTACACAATAATCAAGTTGCATTTATACCAGAAATTCAGTGTTGTTTCAATATTGGGAAAATCATTAGCATAACATATCATGTTAATAATAAAGTAATAAAAGTTACAATTAAATAAGAGACAGGAAAAACTTTTAAAGCACTTAACACAGTGATTAGTACATAGTAAATGCTATACAAATATTAGCAGCTATTATTATTTTAAAATGTAATACTGATTTATGTAAAACATTAAAAATAGGAATGTGTATCTTTCCTTACAATAGTAAGGAGACAAGCAAGAGCTTCTAGCAAGAGCTAGTAATGTTTGTAATAGAGTAAGGCTAGAGACCTTTCCAACAATAGCAGGGATACCTGTTGTCATAATTATTATTTGACACTTATGGAAATGCTAAATATTGTAATAAGAATAGAAAAATGAGGGAATAATAATATACAAAGAAGAAACAAAATGATTATCTTTTCCAGATAATATGATAATTTACATAAAGAACCCTTTAGAATCAACTAAAATTAATTGAAAAAATAAATAACTTTAATAAAGTATCAGGATATAAAATAAATCCTCAAAATCATTAGCTTTTTTATGTATTACTAGCAAATTCCAGCAGGAAAATAGAAAAAGAAATTTGGTTCGAAATTAATTACAATATATATATATCTGAGTCTACTTTCCAAGATAGTTACAAAAATTATATGAGTACAACTATAAAACACTTTGAAAAAATTACAAACACAAATAATTACTTATAGCTGGACTCTGCTAACATAATAAAAATGAGAATACTATTTAAATTAATTTATATATTTACTACAGTATCAATCAAACTGATGAAATAGATCAGAATCAATGTATTATTTGATAGAATTGCCTATTCATAGCCTTTAATCATTCATCCATTGAAGAATGGCTCTTATTTTTATAAATGAGTAATTTCTCTATATATCTTGTGCACAATCTTTTTTATATTATTTAATCGAAATTGTCCACCTCAGGCATCTTGGTGATTCCTTCTTTGGTCATCAACTTTTTACCTATCATAAATCTTACAATCAATTTCTTCCATGCTCCTCTAATTTGTTTATATCATCTTTCTGCCTAAGTCATATACCTATTTGGAGTTGATCTTGATATGTAGTGTGAAATATTTTGCTCAAACAAAACTAAAGCAGCAAAATTTAGGAGAGAAACAAGTAAATGGGGAAAATATTTGTGGCAAATTTCTCTGATAAAGGTTTCATTTCTAAGACATATAGAAGAAATTGTTCAAATTTGTAAGAATAAGAGTCATTCCCAAATGGAATGGATAATCAAAGGATTTGAATAGGCAGTTCTCAAAGGAAGA